TCTCTGCGCATCGCTGAGTCCCTCCTACCTGCCTGTTCCCAAAGCTGCTCAGCAAAGAAATATCTCGGCACTTTGACCACGGGAAAAATCGGCCTGCCTAGTTGGCTTTAGGTGCTGGGAAAATGTTGGTGAGGCCTTGAGGTCCTGAAATGTCCAGTTCTGAGATCACACCTGTGGATGCAACCAAAACAGCCAGAGACCCTATCCTGCCCACTGCTCCCCCAGCCAGCCTGGCACCCACCCCTGAACAAGGCGGTTTTGCAGCTGCTGCCCCCTAGAGGCAGAGGTGGCAAGAGCAAAATCATCACTCAGCTGGCTCCCAAGCTGAAAATGAACTAAGTCAAAGTTTGCCTTGGTAAGATTACCCTTGAATCTAGGAACAGAGCTAGAGATGAGTAGGGTGAGAGTGACACCCCTGTCCTCAGAGGAAGAATGACCTGGCAGCTAGAGTGCCAGTTTCATAAATCAATAACGTTACCCAGTTTCTCAGAGTTGCCGTTCAAGGTGGGTTGTTCCTGAGCCCCTCCGGTTCCATTGTTCCCTTCAGGAGTGGACCGTTCTCCCCTCTCAGGCTTCAGAGCTCTTCCACCTCCCTGTCCGCCTCCCACACACACACCTAGGAAATGCTCGAGGCCTTTCTGCCTCCACTCCTCCTCCCTGCCACCTTCCAGGGCACACTCTGTGGCTGGATTGGACCGCAGACCCATATGGTCCATCACTTTCATTTTACAGATAAAGGAAGTTCTGAGATCAGTGAGCGTTCCCATCCCGTCAGGGCCAGGTCTTGCTGCCAAGCTGGTACCCTCCCCACTGCAGTACATCATTACCTTCCTTGACCTGGTGTTCGAAGATGAACATTTTTAAGAATCTCAACTAGGACTGAACATTCCACCACCATCTCTTAGAAGTGAGCTCTCACAGGCCACTTGGGCCAAGGTGAGCAAAACCGGAGCATGTCCATTTACAGGGGGTTTTTAGGTCCGTAACCCTCAGAGTGAGTGCACCGTCTGGAACATCTTTCTGTTCATAGAGGTGGAGGCCATGGGAAGACTGCCTACAGAAACATCCCTGGAAGCAGAGAACTCTCCCCAGGTAGCATGATGGATGTCACTGTCTTCTCTAAATAATAAAGACTGTTACAGCCCATTAAGACTTCTTCCAAAAAGACCGTGGCCAAAATGGGGTGAGCGCCGCCCTCAGTTGGGTGGAGGGGGTGGTAGGTGTACTAGTAAAATCAGTAGGAATGACCTGTGTCATCTGTTGCCAGCGGGGCAACCAGCTGCTTGTCCACGATCTGCCAAAACCTGAGGCTTGTCTTCATCAGTGCTCCTGGCCAGCTGAGTGCCTCCCCTGGGCCCAGCATTGTGGTAGATGTTAGAAGTGCTAACAAGCCGCAGAACTAAGGAGACCTTGCACCAATCTCAGTTACACTGCTTCCTGGCGGAAAAATCTTAGGCAATATGTTAACCACACCGAACCTAAGTTTCTTAATCTGTAAAATGGGGATGGTAATGCATCCCTCATAGGATGGCTGCAAGGGCGAAATTCAATGAGATAATGTACGTGAAGGGCCTAGGAGGAGTAATCTGACACAAAGTGTTCCGCGCATGGTCACTATCGTTCCCA